AACATAAATTAATTGAGCCTAACGTGTCCGTATGGGTGAGATTGGCCCTACACTTTTAGTTACTTACTAGAAAATAAATTAAATTATTCAAATTTATGATATTCCTGTATGATCTTTTTTATTCATATAAAATTCTATTTTACTATCTCATCCCGGAATTTCCCGGGATCCCGGGAAAAGAAATTATTTGTCCCGTAATCCCGCTGGAGGCAAATTTCCCGGGAAATGAGAAACCCTAATTTATATATATATAAATAGATAATAAAAATACATTACATACATACACAGTCTTGATTTTTATTAGTCATGTTTTTTCCGTTTGAAAGGGTTACTCGTAAATAATCTGTCTAATGTCGATTGCTTTTCTCTCTCCAGGATTTTTCGTAAGTAGTTATTAATAGCATTGCAATTGTAGAAATCCCCAAGCCTCAACCTGGTTTGGATGCCATTCTATGATCGTTATTTTGACATCCTCCTACTACTACAAAAGATCTTTAANGATTGCTTTTCTCTCTCCAGGATTTTTCGTAAGTAGTTATTAATAGCATTGCAATTGTAGAAATCCCCAAGCCTCAACCTGGTTTGGATGCCATTCTATGATCGTTATTTTGACATCCTCCTACTACTAAGATCTTTAATAACAGATATCGTCATTAATCCTCTTTTTCAGAAGAAAACATATCTCGCCGAGTTTCTTGCTGTTATTTATTCAAGAGTTCTTGGCGTTCTTCTGTCCTCAGATCCGTTTCGGATTCCATTATGAACTCTTCGATGTTCTTTATATCTCAGATGTGATTTTTGTTAATCCTTTAGCTGCTTGAGTCTTCTTGATAATACAGTATCTTTCTTAGATAAGATTTAACTACGGTCTACTGTAGACCTGTTCAAGCCATACTGCCCAGAAACATTAGGCATCTTCTGCCCACTCTCTACCTTTGCTATTATACTCTGACCTTTCGAAAAGAAAAACAGACGCAAAACTTAACGAGTGCCTACCCGACAGTCTCGCGAATACATAAAAGAATTGTTTTGTCAGAAAAATAAAAGGCTGGAATTACAAGGGAGAGTTTCAAAGTTCGGAGGAATACTATCCGATCGGTATATACCAGCTTGAGCGTCGATGTCGATGTCTCTCACACTCCGAAAGGTTTCGAATTGTTGTCCGAAGACAAGGAAAGACCAATCGGTATTCATTACTTCAAGTGGTCTGATTGCTGTTCCTATGGCGACCATCGTCGTCCGTCGGACGACTGGAAAAGCGCGGGAAAACCGTGTGCCAGACGATTTTTTTTTTATTATCCCCACAGTGATCATACTTTGTATGCAAATCTCGATGGGGCGTAAATTTAAGACAATCGCTTATCTTGAGGATTTTGTGACGAATGATACTGTTATTGTTTAGAATTTTTTTTCGAACGGGTTCAAATCGATAGCAGTTATCCAACCGATGTATCGTTGTATCCTGCTCTGTCGGGCAGAAAGTGCAACGATCAGTATTTTTCAGGTTACGTTTATGGAGGAAGGAATTAGTGATGAGGGAGTTAGTTCTAGCTCGATGGATCAGGATAGTAGTGTATCGGTCCGTATAGTCCATGACGGGGATGTGATTGCCGGTGATGAGCCATTGATAGTCTGTGTGGTTGGGAAAGTTATACCATTCGTTGTCAATTTGCTGTTTGATTTCGGTGTTTATAATGCTGATGTAATCCTCCGGAATAATATAATGGGTTTTCTCGGTGTCGCATGGCTGACTCTTAACAAGTTTGTCAGCTTGTTCGTTTATGGTTACCCTTTATGAGCTGGGGTCCAAACGAGACGCGTCTGTAGATTGTCTTTATTACGTCTGTTGATGAGGCTTATGATGGTGTGGATGATAGATGAAGACTTTATCGTGGTGAGCGTTGATGGCGGTGAGGATAGCTTTGGAGTCCGTGCACAAGGTGATGTTGCTGTTAGTCTCAGTGGCATGTTGTAGCGCGCGAAAAATAGCGAATCCCTCCGCCGTGAAAATGGTGGCCTCGGAGTGGAGAGTGAATGGGCTTTGGTGTTGGTGGTGTAGTCCAGTGTTCCGCAACCGGTGTGCCGTCACATGGTGAAAGGTGTGACGTGAACTTTTACATATTCTGTTAATTTCAAATTTTATTTATATATTTTTATCACAGTTGTTGTGTTTCTTATGTATGTATGTTGTATGTTCTTACGTATGTATGTTGTTGTGTTTTTTATGTTATCTTTTGTGTGTATTTCATTCTCTGCCGCAACACTGATGAAATAAGATGATGTTTGTTTATTCTTTATTACAAGACACCCATTTTTATGTATTCTAATAAATTATATGTAAAGAAAATTTGCTCACAGGTGTTGGTATCTGTTTAATAACAATAATAATAGGTTAGTGGCATTATGTAATTCTATTAATAGTATCATATCATACGTTTTTGAGGGGAATAACATTTTGGTGTGCCGTGTTGAGTCATGGGTGTGCCGCAAGTAGAAAAAGGTTGCGGAACACTGGTGTAGTCGATGAACACTGCCGTGACAGTCGTGTGAGTTTTGGAGCCGTCGGTGGCCAGGAAAGTAGAGAGATCTTGTACCGTTGCCCACTCATGAAAGGTGGATTGAATCACGGGGTCCGGTAGGGAGGAGTCGTGGAACGGAAGGTTGTCAATGCAGCCTACCTTCTTCGCGGAAGAACTCCTCTGGTGGTCATATGCTGAAATAAAATAATTATTATAATAAATTTTATTTCACTAAGGATCAAAATTATTAATTTTTTTATATATTGAAAGCATTTGTTTTTAAATTCAAGTATTAAACAGCATTAACACCCAGAAAACTTTTAAATAATTGTATTCATTTTATTTTTATATATGATGAGATTAAGCATCACGTGAATTCGTCACTGGTAGAAAATGTCGGCACATTCGGCTTCTAAAGGCAAGTTAATTGCCGTGATTGGAGATGAGGTTTGTTTTATTTAGTAATTAATTAAATTTGTGTTACCGATTATCAATATTTTAGTGAGTAGTGATTAAAGTTGATAAAATTGTTATTTCAGACACTTTTATAACAAAAAACCCGTACTTATTGTAAACTTCATTAAACTTTTAGGTACTCACATCAAAGCATAAACACACCTATAACTTATATATACACTAATTAACCATGTAGGTTACAATGGATTAGATGGCTGAGGAGCTAAGCTATCTGACTGCTTCTGCAAGAATCCTAGAATTGGCCCCAGATTGGACCCTCTTGGAATTTTTTCTGTTGGTTCTAGTCTGGATTTATCAAACCCACTGCCCACTTCACTTGTGTTTGAATGTTTTTGTGAACATGTATGTCACATCAACAGTAAATTGACCAAAATTACAGAAAAAAATAAATGCTAAAGTGATGGTAGAACAAGATATTTGTAGACCAATCTGTCTAAAAAAATGGATGGTTGGCAGCTCTGAAAACTATAAATTATTGGAAATTGAATATTTTGGAAAGGTAAGAAAGAGATCCATAGGTGATAGAACACAATATAGTTATAGTAATGCAGTTTATTAAGTTCCTATTTTGTATATTCTAATCACGTTTAATATTAATTTTGAATGGAACATAGAATATAAAACATAAAATACAAATGTAGGAAATATTAAAATTTGTTACATTCAAGCATAAGTAGCTGGCCAAAAGCACAGAAGAGTAGTATATAAATGTCATTAGCATTAAGAATTGAATAACACATATAAAATAAATAAAAAGATAAACAAATTTATATTAAATAAGAAATACAAATATAAATAAATAAGTTCAAGTAACAATAGACAAATACAAGAAATAAAATTATTCTTCATTGGGATTCTTGTTCTGTACAGTTACCCCTCACTTAATTACTTTAATTTGTTCTTGGAAAATCTATTGCAAAGTGAAAAGTTTTTAAATGAGTAATTGATTCCATTAATTTAAAAATTACAAGGTGTTCCATTGTGACGGAAGATATCCAAATGGTTTTTACAGATAGAAAAATTTATCAATTGAGAACAATGAAAACATGTTTACATTAATAATAAATTACAATCTGAAAGTAAATAAATGTAATATAATCATAAGATATAATGAATGAGTTAGCAATGCCCAATGTTTTCTTTGCATTTTCTTCTTTTTCATCTTCAACAGGAACCTGTTTGTATTTCAGTTCATCTAATGTGTAACTTTTGAAAATAATTTTTTGGAATATTTACTATTTACAGACAAATTTGGTGTGTATGATAAAAGCTAAATCTGATCATATATCCTGTGTCTTTACATCATCAGCTCTATGAGAATTTGTGGGCNCTGGTAGAAAATGTCGGCACATTCGGCTTCTAAAGGCAAGTTAATTGCCGTGATTGGAGATGAGGTTTGTTTTATTTAGTAATTAATTAAATTTGTGTTACCGATTATCAATATTTTAGTGAGTAGTGATTAAAGTTGATAAAATTGTTATTTCAGACACTTTTATAACAAAAAACCCGTACTTATTGTAAACTTCATTAAACTTTTAGGTACTCACATCAAAGCATAAACACACCTATAACTTATATATACACTAATTAACCATGTAGGTTACAATGGATTAGATGGCTGAGGAGCTAAGCTATCTGACTGCTTCTGCAAGAATCCTAGAATTGGCCCCAGATTGGACCCTCTTGGAATTTTTTCTGTTGGTTCTAGTCTGGATTTATCAAACCCACTGCCCACTTCACTTGTGTTTGAATGTTTTTGTGAACATGTATGTCACATCAACAGTAAATTGACCAAAATTACAGAAAAAAATAAATGCTAAAGTGATGGTAGAACAAGATATTTGTAGACCAATCTGTCTAAAAAAATGGATGGTTGGCAGCTCTGAAAACTATAAATTATTGGAAATTGAATATTTTGGAAAGGTAAGAAAGAGATCCATAGGTGATAGAACACAATATAGTTATAGTAATGCAGTTTATTAAGTTCCTATTTTGTATATTCTAATCACGTTTAATATTAATTTTGAATGGAACATAGAATATAAAACATAAAATACAAATGTAGGAAATATTAAAATTTGTTACATTCAAGCATAAGTAGCTGGCCAAAAGCACAGAAGAGTAGTATATAAATGCCATTAGCATTAAGAATTGAATAACACATATAAAATAAATAAAAAGATAAACAAATTTATATTAAATAAGAAATACAAATATAAATAAATAAGTTCAAGTAACAATAGACAAATACAAGAAATAAAATTATTCTTCATTGGGATTCTTGTTCTGTACAGTTACCCCTCACTTAATTACTTTAATTTGTTCTTGGAAAATCTATTGCAAAGTGAAAAGTTTTTAAATGAGTAATTGATTCCATTAATTTAAAAATTACAAGGTGTTCCATTGTGACGGAAGATATCCAAATGGTTTTTACAGATAGAAAAATTTATCAATTGAGAACAATGAAAACATGTTTACATTAATAATAAATTACAATCTGAAAGTAAATAAATGTAATATAATCATAAGATATAATGAATGAGTTAGCAATGCCCAATGTTTTCTTTGCATTTTCTTCTTTTTCATCTTCAACAGGAACCTGTTTGTATTTCAGTTCATCTAATGTGTAACTTTTGAAAATAATTTTTTGGAATATTTACTATTTACAGACAAATTTGGTGTGTATGATAAAAGCTAAATCTGATCATATATCCTGTGTCTTTACATCATCAGCTCTATGAGAATTTGTGGGCTGTTTTGTTTTTTTTTATGACATCATGTTTAGATTTTTGTTAGAAAAATCCATCGTTTCATTTAAGTTTGTCATCATCATTTGGTAAAATTGGTACACTTTTTATAGAAATATAATGGTTAGCAAACAGTTGATATAGCATTTTGCAGTATAATTTTAAACAAGGCTGTAGCATCAGAACTACAATCAATCAATCAATCGTTATTTTATTAAGGTGTGAACACACATATCCCGGCCCCGCATAATAGCATTACCGGGAGTAAAGTACATCAACATAATTTTACAAACAATTTTTACAAGGATAAATACATTCAATATTATGATAGTGAGGATATTTATAATATTTACAGAGGTAATTTTTCATGTTGTATCAGGTCATATGAAGTAGTTATATTAAGTACATATATAGTAGTAACAGAGTAACAATAACAGAGTAATAATATATAGAGTAATCACATAATAGATTAAGATTAACCAACATACAATTATTTAAAAACAAAGAATTATATCAATAATAAAGTATGATCATTTTCAAAATGAATAACAGCATTTAAAGAAAATATACATATTCAATAATGGTAGAAGGTGCATTCCATATTATTATTAGTTGAGTTGTATTATTTTTGTACATTCAATATATAGAGCACATGTTATAATATGCAATAATTAAATATCATGTACAGATTAAATAAATGTGTAATTAATACCATAACTAAATAATATGTTTATCAACAATATAATGAATAGAATAGACAAGTGTATCAATAACACACAGGTCACTGCATATACAATTGTTAATGAAATATTATATCAATAATGAATAAGATATTTTAACACGATACACGTATTTAGGCATTATGGTATATATATATATCTTACATTCAATGTAGCAAACAATTCGTCCCCACAATTAACATTTAATACATGTATAATAAAATGAGTAATCATAATATGCAGAACAATCATATATAGTATATATTATGCAAGTAACACAGAGTTAATTAATAAAATTATAAATATATTATACAATAGAACAAAATTAATTAATGAAGTTAAATAATAATTAAACAGTAATTAAAATAACAAATATTAATAATAATAAATATACTAAACAAGTTAGAGTACATTACATCAAAAATGCAAGCTGCACAAAAGTTTTACTTCAATCAATGATAATCTCCATCCATAATCTATGTCCAAATCAGCTAGCAAAATCCTGTAACTGTAATTGAAGTACCCGATTTATCTAAAAGATGCACAGGATGCATAGAATTACTGTAATTGATTTGCGTTGCTTGCAGAAAGAGCAGGCAAATTTCACACAAGTCCATATCAACCGATAAAGTCCTTTAGCTGCCAGTTGAGTTCTTGATACGACTGAAATATGCACAGGATGCATGTAGAGACTTGATTTGCATTACTTGCAGTAGAAGTAGGCAAATTTCAAACAAGTTCATTTCAACCAACAGGATTCACTAATGTCTTGGTTGATTCTTCTTGGGAAGCCAAACTAAGGTAGTGCACATCATCCAACGGTGAAAACAAGACACATTACACAAATCCATTTCAACCGACAAAAGTTCAGCCGCTGTCAGGTTGAATTTCTGGCAGATGTGTATGTAGCACAAGGCACTTGTAGAATAATAATTTTGTATTTCTAATAATAGTCACAAGCACAGATTAACACAAGTTCATATCAGCCATCATATCAAATTACGGCTGATTTCTTCGAAAGTCTAAAGAATGTGTATGCACATATGTGGTGCAAAGGTTTGTGAGAGGAAAGAAAAGAAAAGAAAAAAAAAANATTCATTTTCTTGAACATAGGTGAATAAAAAACTGGAAAATTATTGTATCTTAAGTATGGAAATGACAAAATTCATTTTATAATGTTTATGACAAATGATTTTTTCCACCAGAAGTGAAATACAGTAGAGCATCGATTATCCGAATGGATTGGGGTTGTTCGGAAGATCGATGTTTCGGATAACCGATTATGTACGAAAAAATTTATCTCATGTTGAAATTTTTCTCCATTGCGTGTCGCTTTGCGTTGAATTTTTGTCAATGTTAAACCTAACGAAGACTATTGTATCGTTAAAAATTATTTTTTTATTTTGTACAAACAAAATAAATATATTGAAAAATATAAAAACAATAAAAAATTATACTTTAGAAGTTAATTTAGTATCAAAAACGTAAAATATTTGAGTAGCCCAAGATACAGCCAAAGATTGCAGTGCCATAGCACCAGTGAAAATTTAAATTTGCCGACTGAAATTCTTTCGGATGATTGACGTTTCGGTTGATTGACTGTCAGATAATCGATGCTCTACTGTATATCAATTTAGTTAGATGGTATACATCCAAATTCAAAGATTAACAAAATGGGACAAGTAAAGATAATGTTACAGCAATGATGAGAACTTAAAAAGTTTATATTTTTGTTTCAGGAAAATGTGGTAAATTATTAGGAGAAACTGTTTTATAAAAAATGTAATAAAAAAATTTTATAGTTTAATGCCAAACGATTGCTGGATTATATTGGGCTATACATACTTGCCAACCTTTAGAATGGGGAATAGCCAGGATGTTGATAGAAAAATGCTGATTTTTGAATGGAAACACTAACAGCATAAAAAGCGAAAAATTATTTATTAACGTTGATATTGTACAATGCTTTTATTAAATACCTTTAGTAAACAAAATTAATGTCATCTCTGCATATGATATCTTATAAAACTATTTCCATAAATGCTGTCAAGAGAATGGCAATAGCTTTATAATTTTTAACATCACAATTTAAAAAAATCAAGTATTTTACAGGACACTTCATAAATGTACACTTAAGTTTATTGCGTATACCATCTTGATGTGTCATTGAGTCTTGTTATTGCCTGATGAGTATTCTGTTATATGCCTATGTGCAATGTTTTGCTTTCTTAATTTGTTACAGTGTACTGTACTTATGACAGTTGCAATCAGTCAGTTTATTGACTTTCACTGCAATTATTAAGGACAATGTTTTCTGGTTGTGATTTAGTTCCTATCTTTGTCTTACTTTTTCCTATCATGCTGAATATCTTTTCCTTTTGCTACCCTGCAATGCTGTATGGCAAAATTATCATCAGACTTATCTATATACAGTGGTACCTCAGGATACGAAATTAATCCTTTCCGAAACTGAGATCGTATCATGAAAATGTTGTAAGGTGAATCGTACATGTAAAACCAAATAATTTGTTCCAACATGAAAAACACACTCAAATTAAAGCTAAGTAGTACATTGAAAAAAAAATAATTATAGTAAAGAAAACACTGAAAACTGCATTTTGTAGTTGCAAATGTATAAATAACCATAATAAAATAATAATTGATTAAAAAAATGTAGTTTTATTTGCACTTTAACTTTGAGGATAGACGATGGTGGAGGTGTAAACTGGTGGCGGAAGAGAGGGAGAAGGGAAATGATACTAAAACTTAACTTACATAACATAATGTAACAATAAGTTAAAAATAACTTAGAAAAGATAAAAAAAATTAGTGTTGTTTTATATATATATTTTAAATTTTTATTCACTGCTTTTTGCTTTCTTTCCTTCACTT